GAAAGGCCATATGTATGCCAATGTTCATAGCAGCAATGTCACCAATAGCCAAACTTTAGAAAGAGCTGGATGCCCTTTAACAGACGGATGGATAAAGAAGATGTGGTTCATATATACAATGGAATATTACTCAACCATCAGAAAAGATGGCTACCCACCATTTGCATCAACGTGCATGGGACTGGAGGAGATTATGCTAAGTGACATAAGTCAAGCAGAGAAATACAATTATCAAATGGTTTCACTTATATGTAGAACAGAAAGAAGAAGGAATAGCACAGAGGGCATTAGGAAAAGGAAAGAAAAAAGGAAGGGGAGAATCAGAGAGGGAGACGAACTATGAAAGGTTATGAACTCCAGGAAAAAAAACTGAAGATTTCAGAGGGGTGGGTGTTTTAGGTTAGCCTGGTGATGGGTATTAAGAAGGGCATGCATTGCAAAGAGCAGTGGGTGTTATATGCAAACAATGAATCATGGAGCACTATATTAAAAACGAATGAGGTACTGTATGGTGACAAATACATACATACATACATACATACATTCCAGGCTTCAAGTCTTGCTTGTTATACAAACTTACAAAACTAGCCCTCTGGTTTTCAAGGCCAGACATTCTGAGGACTTGTTTTCCCCATGTGCACTCCCTGATGACTTACCCTGTCTCTGATTCTAGGTCTCTCCCTCCTGTGGACAGCTCTAGACCACCATTTTTGCCTTTTTTAACTTCACTGATGTGAATTCTCCACATTTAATTGTGGAGTTTCTTTTGCCAGTTTATTTACTCAGATGTGAGTGATATCAAATTGTAAACATGGAATAAGGTGAGCTTAGGGGTCTCCCACTCTGCCATCTTCGCATGCCTCCTTCATAACTGAGATGTTTTCTTAAGTGTTGTTATTTATATTAAGAAAACAGTGAGCACTTCACCTTTAGTTTATTGAAACTGACAACATAGTAATCTCATAAGCCTCTTCAGACCATATGGTGATGACACAGTTAAGGATATGGCAATGTTGATACACAAAAATTATAACAGTTTAAATAATGTGGCAGAAATTAATTTTCAAAATTTACCACTTAGATTATTGAAGCAAAAAGTGATCCACACCAAAACACTTCATATAAACTCACTTTCAGTAGCTTTGTCTCTCTTCTTTATCCTAAGCAATATTTTCCCACATTGGAACAATATTACCACCAGGTGCTCATCTGTTGATTGAATTCCTATATAGTTTTATATTTTTACTTTATATCTTCACTTATGGTTCTCCTCCTTTAATTTTTTATTTCCATTAATATAAAAAACAAATTTTTCTATTTAATGGTATTATTTCTATTACATACATACACAGAGAGATGACTAAATTCTCTAGATGAAGAAATCATATCAATGCTTTCCTGCCGTATGTGGTCTTCCAATTTTCTTTTGGGTCATCTTAAGACAAACCAAGAGGATCATTACTTACACTTCAATATCTATTTTATCATGCCAATTTTGTTATGATAACTCAATGTAATTATCATTTTTTATAAGTAAGAAAGTAAGTAATGAGCTCACCACATTCTTAGGCTGGCCTGGAGAAATGACCTTGGATTTATTTTCACACAGTATATTTAGAAAATACTGACAGAAAATAATTGTTAAATATTGTGTGCAGAGAGACTTTAACTTACTATCTCTATTTGGAATGCATGACCTGTAGGCTCACTCCAGAGTTGAGTAAAGCATGGTTGATATGTAAGTCTGACTCAACATGACCCTAAATAATACATATTATATATATTGACAACCAGATTTTCTTGTTTTTCTGTATCAAGTTCTGATAAAAAACACACACATACACCCACCCTTAGGCTCCTATATGAGAAAGTCATAAAATGTTCATAGCGTGGTCAGTGTGAAACAAATCTGTGTATTGGTAACTATTAGATCTTTCAGTGAGATGACAATGTCCATTCTGTATATTCCATTCTACACACTTCTATAAAGCTAAGTAAACATTATGCTAGATTAAAAGTCTCTGTATCCTGTGTGATTAATTTACTACCTCATTCAGGTATCATAACTTATACCTTTATATTTATTTTCTTATTTTCTCACTCTCAAGTATGCATTACCAGTACTAAAGACAAATAAAGGAAGAAAAAAACCCATATACCAAATATGAATCTCAAACTTACCTGAGAAGAAACACACATAATGCTTGAACCTTAAAAATTCCCACTATGGAAGATTATTCTAATTCTTTATGGGAACAGTTTTTATCAATGCAATAAATTTTGTTCTCTCACTGTCATCCTTTCATGTGTTATCGGAGTATAAATTACTATAATAAAATTTTATAAAACCATGATTTATCCAGACAATGGGTTTTTCAGAAAATCTGAATCTTAGTATACAAATTTTGCTTTGTAATTAATAATAGTATTTAAGCGATTGTTAATAAAAGTCTATCTTGATATGATTGTCAGTGTAATGTTATGATTTACTAATAATGTCTGCATTTAGAAGAGAATGTTTGACTTATCCTGAAGACATCAATCTCTATGTCCCAAGTAACACATTACCCATATTAGACAATATTTCTAGGAAATGTATTAGCTAATATTTGGGTTAATTTGATGGGATATTTTAAAGTTTCTACTAAAATATGTTATATATGTAGAAAAGTCCATGCATAAAAAGTGTACAGCTAAATAAATTTGCACCATCCAAACAAAACAACTCATCAAGACACAGATCAATATATAAATATTACAAGCATTCCAGAAACCTCCAAGTTGTCTTATCTCCATGCCAATCTCCCCCATGACTTTCCCTGAGTAACTTATTTTCACATCATAGACTAGTAAATATACAAGAGATATAGGTAAGGCAATTTCAAAATAGAACTTACTAACTGGCATATATAGAACACTAAATCTGCAATGATAATTTTTTATTAATGTAATTATAAGTGAAAATGGAATACTTATTGAATTATGGCATACCCTGTACCATTGCAGAGATACAAAACAATTCAAAAGTAATAAAATTAATTCAAAGTACGTTTTTTCATCATATAGAAAATAGCTTAGAAATCATTAAGGATCAAGAGGGAAAAGCCCTACTTCTTCTAAATACTCCATAATTTAAAAATAAATCAATATAGAACTAAGAAAATATATTCATATTAGTAATAGAAAAGATATAAATACTAAACTTGTGCTCATGAAGCTAAAAAGTGCTTACAGAGAAATTTAGAGTGAAAAGCAATATATTAGAATTGAGGAAGGCTAAAAAAATCAATAAATTATATTTTGCAAGAAGCTAGATGAAGATAGACAAGTACAAATTCAGAAAGATAAAAGAAAAAATTAAAGAGGTTAAGAGCAGGAATCAGCAAAATAGAGAGCAGACTTACAAAAGGAAAAAGCAACACCAAAAAATAATTTGAAATAAGATGATTGAAACCCTTCTATCAAGACTAATCAAGAGTGAGCGATAACACAAAATATTAATAGCTAAAAGACATACAAAAAAGATATTACTAAAGAACTTGCAGTAATTAATATGATGTTTCAAATAAAATGTTCTTCTGACTAGTAAGAATCGAGTAAATGATGCAGTCACAAAGAAAGCAAAACTATATAATTACATTTTTATAAAGAAAAAATGAGGGAAAAGGTGAAATACATTTTCAGAATAGTTGCCTTTGGGGCAAAGAACTAATCATAAAAGAAGATTCTTTTGTGTTAGTTATATTTTCCCTCTATGTCTGAGTCCTATAATATAGCATCATAATATGGAGAATTTACTGCATAGATATTATGCATCAATGTGCTGTTACACTGTTTGGATTGAGACAGTATCACCAACTCCATAAATCTGTGAATCTACTAATGTTAACAAATACACAAGTAGAGTCTTGTAAGAATAGGGTTTTTAAATAAAAACAGGCCCTATTGTTCCTGCTATCTATATGCCTGTTCAAAAAGGTTGTTAATGATTGAGGTTCTATAGTTCATTTTAATATCTGGCAGAGCTAATTTCCTCTTTGATCTGTGACCATTTCTTTCATTTATTATATTTTTAAATTTAATTTAACTTTTTCAGTGTTCCAAGATTCATTGTTTATGCACCACACCCAGTGCTCTATGCAATACATAGTTGCTCACTTCTTTAGAATTACCTTCTATGGTTCTAGATAATCACTATAAATTTTAAAATTATAATAAATGATTACAAAAATAATCTCTACCTCATAAGAGTTGTGATAGAACTTTGTCAAGAAAAAGTTTTGCTTATGCTTAAGGCAGTGACCACTAGGTCTCAGGTAACAAAATTTTCAACAAAGTTTGCCAGGAAATATATAAACCACTTTTCTTAGGGATGTGTATTTCAAGTTTTAGTAAGAAATAATAATGATATGATATTTTTGTATCTCTCCATTTAATAGCTCTAACATAATATCCTTTTTAAAGGCCTAGAGCAATATTGAAAATTGAACTGTTTTGTGTTTCTAAAGAATTATAGCAACTTTAATCATATAAAAACTTGATGGTCTTAAAGAGATCTAACAAAATTTCACATACAACTTCCCATGTTGCAAAAATGAGAAACAATTCATGTCAATCCCCAAATATTAATGTAGAAGCAGAAATATAAAACAATGTGGTCACAAAAACCTTATGAATAAATAATTAAGCAGATAGAGAAATCATAACATCTTGACATATTTGGATTTCACTATAATAATTTTGATCCAATATGAAACTGCTAAAAAATTTTCTAATAGCATCTTTCCATCAAAGCTTAAAATAATTAAAATGAAAGAACTAATTATAAGGATACAATAATGTAGGTAACCTTGATGAAGGTCTCAATGAGGAAAAAGACACATTATAAAAATATTCTTGAATAAGTTTCTGAAAAGATGAACATAGACACCTCAAGACCTGGTGACACAGACTATAACATACACATATGAGCTTCAAAGGTTCTTTGTTTAGTTACTCACCTCTATTCTCTGAAGTCAAACCCCTGATTCTAGTCCTTCTATCTCATCAAAACATGACAGAAAGAAAAAAACAAAGACAGAGTATCAGAAATTTTTCAACAGTAAAGTTAACAAAAAACTTAAATTAGTTTCATTGTCATTATTTGATATAGACATATAATCTTTTCTTCTTTTAGCCCAAATGAGAATTTCAGTACCCATGACAGTTTCTTCTTTCCTTAATTCAATCATTATTTTCTCATTTTTTACTCAAGAACATATTTTCTTTAAATAATTATCTTTCTACAACTTTTGTCCAAAGTAAGCAAAATGAAGCAATCTTGGATCCCTGATCATATATAAAGGTGCATAGTGACTTATAACATAAGACATAAATGCCCTGTTCTGGAAAAAAGAGAAAGCATACTAACAGTGCTATTATGTTGTCACTGAGGGGTCAATAAAGACAGCCAGGCCCTGAAAGTATTATTTGTCCTAGTAGATGGCAACTCATCTGGACCTCAGATTGACATCTGGAATGAGTCCCTCAGCATCCTCAGACAATTGTGCTCATCATTGATCCAGACAAGTGCCCTCCCAACAAATAAGCATTTCCAGACTTATGTTGTGCAGGTTTGAATAAAGAACAGCAAATATGTAGTAACTATTTTATTTAGTACCTGAATAATGGGACCCATATATATAGTATTAAAAATGCTACTTTTGATTATTCTAATAAAATTAGGTAAGATCTATTGGGAATATTTTTTTTAAATTTTCTATTTTTTTTTCAACGTAACAGTATTCATTGTTTTTGCACCACACGCAGTGCTCCATGCAATCCGTGCCCTCTCTAATACCCATTACCTGGTTCCCACAACCTCCCACTCCCCACCCATTCAAACCCCTCAGATTGTTTTTCAGAGTCCATAGTCTCTCATGGATCACCTCCCCTTCCAATTTCCCTCAACTCCCTTCTCCTCTCTAACTCTCCTTGTCCTCCATGCTATTTGTTATGCTCCACAAATAAGTGAAACAATATGATAATTGACTCTCTCTGCTTGACTTATTTCACTCAGCATAATCTCTTCCAGTCCTGTCCATGTTGCTACAAAAGTTAGGTATTCATCCTTTCTGATGGAGGCATAATACTCCCTAGTGTATATGGACCACATCTTCCTTATCCATATTGGGAATATTTTAAAGAATCCTTTAATCAACAAATATTATAAAGAGCAAAGGAGGTACCAACAATAATAAAAATTGTGATTATAGCATAAGTGGAAGCATATATGTTGTGAATATTTCAGATAAATATTTAAAAAATCAGTATTTAGCACAGTTGAATTTTGCTACAAGATTATTTTCTTTCAATATAAAATTGTGAACAAAAAAGAAATATGGAAATAATTCCCCAAAGTTATTAATTATTTTAAAAAGGTATTTAATTTTTAAAAAATATTTTATTCATTTATTTGACAGAGAGTGAGAAAGATAGTGAGAGCAGGAACACAAGCAGAGGGAATGGGAGAAGGAAAGCAGGCTTCCTGTTGAGAATGAAGCCTGATGCGGGGCTCAATTCCAGGACCCTGGGATCATGACCTGAGCCAAAGGCAGACGCTTAATGACTGAGTTACCCAGGTACCCCTAAAAATATATTTTTAAAAAGGAAGAAATAATGAGGATTCTTTGTTCCATCTAGGGACACTCACCGGGAAAAATATCTATCATAAAATATTCTTTCTTAAGCCTCTGAAAGAATGAACTCATGACTCTGAAACACTGACATCACTAGTAATAAAATGTCATAATTTCAAAAACGCCAGGATAGCCACTCACCTTTCTTCCCTGAAAGTAACTTATTCACTTGAAAAAAAAAAAACAAAACAAACCCAAACCAGTAACCTGTTCGAGCTTTTGACCTGCAAAACATTACAAAAAAAAAAAAAAAAAAAAAAAAGTAGATCCGGTAAGACAATGCATTAAATTAATCAAAAAATAATGCATAACATTAGTTCTATTTTAATCAATCATACAGACATCTTTTGCCACAAACATCACGTTTGCTTGATCCTTTGTCATTTACATTACATCATTTATTCATTTTTTTCTTCTCTGAGTGCTTTACTTTGCAAATGACCAATAATACTCTCTGCTGAGCTATTCAAATAAGTATATAGCAGTTATCTCTAAAATGTGAAATTCTAAAACTGTCTTACATCCAGTAAAGAATGAAAATACCTCGTGATGTTAAAAATGCCCTGTGCTGTGAAAAATGAAAAGAACATAGTAGGGGTATTGTGAGACTGAGGAGTATTATGAAGGGGTATTATGAGAGGTATTATGAGGATTATTGATGACCTCATCATTGAAAAGTACTAAAAGTGAGTTTTTTTGTCTTTTTTAAAAAATATTTTATTCATTTATTTATTTAAGAGAGAGAGAGAGAGAACATGAGAGGAGAGAGGTCCGTGGGAGAAGCAAACTCCCTGCTGAGCAGAGAGACTGATGTGGGATTCGATCCCAAGACTCTAGGATCATGACCTGAGCCGAAGGCAGTTGCTTAACCAACTGAGCCACCCAGGCACCCTGCCTTTCTTTCTTTTTATTTTTTTTGTTTTCTTTTCTTTTCTTTCTTTCTTTCTTTCTTTCTTTTTTTTACATTATGCACATGTAATTCACTCATTTAAAGTATACAATTAATGGTTGTATACTTTACAACCATTTCTAGTAAATGCCATATTGTGCAACATTGCCACAAGTTTATTTTATTTTATTTTTTATTGTATACTTTTTGAATTTAAATTCAATTAGTCAAGGTGTAGTACATCATTAGTTTGCAATGAAATACCACCTTACACGAGTCTTATTTGTCTTATGGAAGACCACTCAGCTGGACATCAGCAACCCCAGATGCTTATTCTTATTCTTGATCCAAACAGAACCAGCACAACCAATAAACATTCCACACACCACACTAATGCTCTCAACAATTTACTACTTGCATATAGCTTACAGTGAAAAAACAGCACAGGTAGACCTTTAACTTGACTTTAGTAAATCTGGTTATAATGGTAACTCCAGAAGCTTTCCAGAATCTTTCTCTTTAGAGTGATACAAAAAGTGATATTGTAGTGGAGGAGTTTTTAATTCTGATATATTTATTCAATAAGATAGGGGAAAAATTAAGAGTTAAATGTGAAGTTGGATTATATCACTTAAAAGTTATTAAATTAGGACCAGTGGAAACAAGATGGCGGGGAAGTAGAAGGAGGCGCACTTTCAACCTGTACCCTAAAGTGAGCTGATGACCTTCCAAAGAGCTCCGATCACCCACGAAATCAGCCTGAGATCAGAATTATACATGTCTGGATCTCTACAGGGGCAGAAGGCGCCAGTGGGCAGGTAAAGTGGAGCGGGAATGTCGGACTGATATCAGAAGATAAACAAAAGGGGGAGGGAGCCACCAGTGGCAATCGACTGGAAAGTAATACCCCTAATACGAGAGTGCCCTGCATCTGGGGACCAGCATTAACTTGGAGACTGGTTGAAAGCACTGAAAGAGAGCAAAGGATCACAGGGGGTGGGGGGAATTGTGGGAATCCAGGTGGCTAAGGACAGGGGCTTAAGTCCTGGGACCCAGGACAGCCTTCCCTGGTGCTGAGCCAGAGAGAGTGCAGCGGAGAAACCAGGTCTTGGTCCCTGAGCCACCAGCGCACCAGAGAATGCGTGGGGTCCGGCTCCTGTGAGGGGCTGGGAGCCTTGCCAGATGGCAGAACACCGAGCCATGCTACAGAGCCTGAGACATGCGCGCCCCTCACCCTCCCCTGAGAGAGGTGCTCGAAGGCCCATCCCAGCACTCTTAGACCTGCGCCATTCCACTAGAGCCGGAGGCAGGCGCACGCCCCTCACCTTCCCCTGAGAGAGATGCGGGAAGGCCCAGCCTGGCACTCTTAGGCCCACGTCATTTCACCAGAGCCTGATACCCATGCGCAACCCTCCCCCTCCCCTGAGAGGGGTGCGCACAAGCCTGGTGCTCTTAGACCCAGAAAGACCAGGCACTCCCAGCCTGGGCCAGTGGGAAAATCTCAGTGTGTGATCCCTGCTTGGAACCTCTCTGGCACACGATGTCAATAAAAATGTATCTATCAATAATCACTCTCAATGCGAATGGCCTAAATGCGCCCATAAAATGGCACAGGGCTGCAGATTGGATAAAACGACAGAACCCATCCATATGTTGTCTACAAGAGACCCATTTTGAACCTAAAGATACACCCAGACTGAAAGTGAAGGGATGGAGAAGCATCTTTCATGCCAATGGGCCTCAAAAGAAGGCCGGGGTAGCGATTCTCATATCAGACAATTTAGATTTTAAACTAAAGACTGTAGTCAGAGATACAGAAGGACACTACATAATTCTTAAAGGGACTATCCACCAAGATGATCTAATAATTGTAAATATCTATGACCCCAATATGGGAGCAGCCAATTACATAAGAAAACTGTTAATCAAGATAAAGAGTCATATTGATATGAATAAATTAATAGTAGGAGATCTTAACACGCCTCTCTCAAAAATAGACAGATCATCCAAGCAGAAAATCAATAAAGAAACAAGAGCATTGAATGACACATTGGACCAGATGGACCTCATAGATATATACAGAACATTCCACCCTAAAACAACAGAATACTCATTCTTCTCAAGAGCACATGGAACCTTCTCAAGAATAGACCACATACTGGGTCACAAATCAGGACTCAACCGATACCAAAAGACTGAGTTTATTCCCTGCACATTCTCAGATCACAATGCTTTGAAACTGGAGCTCAATCCCAAGGAAAAGTTTGGAAGGAACTCAAACACCTGGAAGCTAAAGACCACCTTGCTTAAGAATGCTTGGATCAACCAGGAGATCAAAGAAGAACTGAAACAATTCATGGAAACCAATGAGAATGAAGACCCTTCAGTCCAAAACCTATGGGATACAGCAAAGGTGGTCCTAAGGGGGAAATACATAGCCATCCAAACCTCCCTCAAAAAATTTGAAAAATCCAGAACACACCAGCTGTCTCTACACCTTAAAGAACTGGAGAATCAACAACAAATCAAACCAACTCCACACATAAGAAGGGAAATAAATCAAGATTAGAGCAGAGATCAATGAGGTAGTAACCAGAGATACAGTAGAACGTATCAATGAAACTAGATGTTGGTTTTTTGAAGGAATCAATAAGATCGATAAGCCATTGGCCACACTAATCCAAAAGAAAAGAGATCATAAAATTATGATTGAAATTCATAAAATTATGAATGAAAAGGGAGAGATCACAACTAACACCAAGGAAGTAGAAACAATCATCAGAAGTTATTATCAACAGTTATATGCCAATAAGCTAAGCAATCTAGATGAAATGGATGCATTCCTGGAAAACTATAAACTCCCAAAATTGAACCAGGAAGAAACTGACAACCTGAGTAGACTGATATCTAGTAACGAGATTGAAGCAGTGATCAAAAACCTCCCAAAAAACAAGAACCCAAGACCTGATGGACTCCTTGAGGAATCCTACCAAACTTTCAAAGAAGAAATAACACCTATTCTCCTGAAGCTGTTTCAAAAAATTGAAGCAGAAGGAAAACTTCCAGACTCTATGAAGCCAGCATTACCCTGATCCCCAAACCAGGCAAAGACCCCACTAAAAAGGAGAATTTCAGACCAATATCACTGATGAATATGGATGCTAAGATTCTCAACAAGATCCTAGCAAACAGGATCCAACAGCACATTAAAAAGATTATCCACCATGACCAGGTGGGATTCATTCTTGGGTTACAAGGATGGTTCAACATTCGCAAATCAATGAATGTGATAGAACAAATTAATAAGAGAAGGGAGAAGAACCACATGGTCCTCTCAATTGATGCAGAAAAAAGCATTTGACAAAGTCCAGCATCCATTCCTGATTAAAACGCTTCAAAGTATAGGGATAGAGGGAACATTCCTGAACTTCATAAAATCTATCTATGAAAGACCCACAACAAATATCATCCTCAATGGGAAAAAGCTTGCAGCCTTCCCGTTGAAATCAGGAACACGACAAGGATGCCCACTCTCACCACTCTTGTTCAACATAGTATTAGAAGTCCTAGCAACAGCAATCAGACAACAAAGAGAAATAAAAGGTCTCCAAATTGGCAACGAAGAAGTCAAACTCTCTCTCTTCACAGATGACATGATTCTTTATATGGAAAACCCAAAAGACTCCACCCCCAAACTACTAGAACTCATACAACAATTCAGTAATGTGGCAGGATACAGTCAATGTACAGAAATCAGTGGCTTTCTTATACACTAACAATGAAAATACAGAAAGGGAAATTAGAGAATCAATTCCATTTACTATAGCACCAAGAACCATAAGACACCTGGGAATGAACCTAACCAAAGAGGTAAAGGATCTGTACTCAAGGAACTACAGAACACTCATGAAAGAAATTGAAGAAGACACAAAAAGATGGAAGACCATTCCATGCTCTTGGATCGGAAGAATAAACATTGTTAAAATGTCTATACTGCCTAGAGCCATCTATACTTTTAATGCCATTCTGATCAAAATACCACTGGTATTTTTCAAAGAGCTGGAGCAAATAATCCAGAAATTTGTATGGAACCCGAGGAGACCCCGATTCGCTAAGGAAATGTTGAAAAACAAAAATAAAACTGGGGCATCACATTACCTGATTTCAAGCTTTACTACAAAGCTGTGATCACCAAGACAGCATGGTACTGGCATAAAAACAGACACATGGACCAGTGGAACAGAGTAGAGAGCCCAGATATGGACCCTCAAATCTATGGTCAGTTAATCT